AAAGTAATTGGCCACAAACTTCCTCTAAATGGCACATCTTTAATAAACAAATAATAATAATACCTGAAATGTCCTCGGGGATTGACGCCGTCCAGACTTAGCACCATGCTCAGATCACAATGATTTTCATCCTCGTATTTCCATGAACTGGAAAAAGAACTTCCTTGAAGATTGTGTGTGAAGTTTGGTGCTTTTTCCTTCAATTTCTTTCGAATTTCCATTATATCGTCAAAGGACGACTCCACAATCCCGCGAATTTGTTCGGTGAGAGGCAGCATAAGAAAAGTCGCCAAATCGCCGCAACTGAAATTGATCATAATAATGTTTGAAATGTGGTATATGTGTTTACCATTCCTTCTCTCTTCGACATCCACACTTTTCGCATATTGAACGCTTCATAATATTCTTCTTGAAATCATACCACAATGAGCGGGCTCTTTCAATCGGGATGAAGTTTTTAATTGTTGCCAGTCGTCTCAAAAAGCCTGCAACCATTTTTTGTCTTTGGAAAAGTATTAGTTTTACCATTTTCTGTATCTTTTCCGAGTACCGAACTATACATGCACAATAATAGTTCATCGGCCAATTCCGATACACGATCATGTGCGGGGTAATTCGGTACGCATGACGGCCCGACTACTTCGGAGAATTCTTCAATTTCGCTTTCAGATCGTTCTCTCATGAGAAAGGATGTTGTTGATGCATCATTTTCATTATTTTCGTTGTTCGACGATTTGTTTCGAAGTGAAAGCCGGGCGTTTTTTCGAGCAAAGACCACACGTTTGGTCGGCATGCATCGCGAACCAGCAATTTGATCTTAAAATAATAAACAATCAGCAATATTAATATACGAAACAAACCTACCTTTCCTCAATTTGAGACCTTCTTTGGGTAATCGATGGCGAAGAGTTTTAGGCATTTCCAAAATTGATTTTTAAAAAAATTGTGATTAACATGGCGCCATCTGCATTCACATTACGATCAACTGCACAATTCCATCTATTTTTCACCCTTTCAGTGTCTATTTCTTATCATTATCTTCTATCTATTTTTTCCCAATTTTTCATCTATTTGTCATCCATTTATCGTATATTTTTCACCAATTTTTGAGATAATCTATTTTTCGCCCATTTTTCTCCTAGTTTTTATCTACTTTTCCGAGTAATCTATTTTTCATCCACCTTTTCACCATTTTTCGTCTGTAGCACAGTTGCAGTGTTGTAAAATTTAAATTTCGTTATTTTAGCATCGACTTTATGGCCTCAAAAGCGTGTTTCGCGTAACTCTTGAAGCTTCAACAAAACTCACGCAATAATTCATATGTTTCACTTTGCACAGCTGTCTAAACTCGAGAAAAGACATGCTATGTCATTCAACAAAAATAGCAATGCAATTCTTTTTTGGGAATAATCACGCGTGTTTCTTTCACAGATCCTTCTTTTCTCTTATTCGTACGGAAGTTTGATAAAATGTTCACTAAATCATTGCTGTGAAATAAAACGTTCCATTAAGAGTTAAGGAAAAATTGCATAATATTTATTTAAAACAAAACGATTACTTACCACTTCTAGTCCTAAACCTACTATTTTCTTAAAATATAGGTTACATCTTGCCGGTTGTTTTTGAGGTGACACGCGAAATTCTCGGTCACATTTTTTTTTGAAAAATTGGAAAATCTTTTAAAAGTGAAATATGAAGTAGCTTATTAGACTTGAAAGTTTTAACCGAAAAGTGTCAACCAATTAATAGTATTTATTTATTTTTGTGTTTGCAAAATGCGCGAAATATAAATATGGATTGCGAATTGGTCGGTGTGCGCGCCACCACGGGGGTCAATCTCCTCGCAAATTTGTCTCATCTTTTTCCATCGCCTTCTTCTTCCTCTTCTTCTTCGCCATCTTCGTCTTCTCCTTTTTGGGTTTTTTTTCAACATCGCCCGAAAGCCGAAACGAATCAGTTATATTTCTCGCATCTCTCAGGAAAACTTGGTCGACTCGCGCACATCGCTGCGTGTGTTTTTTTTTTATTCGCATACAGTGCGCGTCATAATGATACGCCACCCCCCAAATTTCGCAGTTTTGAGAAAACCATATAAATTGGTGACAAGAAAATTTCATTTTCGAATTCAGGACCATTGAAAACCTATACACGCGTATTTTCATGAGGGTCCGTTGGTCCGTATCCATACAGGCCGAAAAAGTTGGATTTTCAAGCGCGTCATAATGATACGCCACCCCTTATTTTTTGTCTCTTCTTTCGGCATTTTTGCATGTTTCTCGCTGATTTTTCTGTATTTTGTACAGTTTTTCAACAATCTTATTATTTTCTCCATAGAGCGATCGTCCGCTTCAGTTTTGGCTTGAAATCGGGCCGAATTCGGACCTTTGAACAACTTCGTTTTGTTTAAGGACTAAAACGCAAGAAAAAAGTCCAAATAACTATAAGACAACAAGTTTGAATGCGAGAACACAACAAATCCAATAATTAGTAGTCTCTTCATAGTTTTGGATCACTTCACATGTTCGGTTTCGCATTCTGTCGGCGAGTTCCTTGAGGTATGCAAGTGACCGACTGTTCCATTCCAGTCAAATTGCGGCCTTCAGCTCATAAAAGGTTCCCATTCTGCTTGGTTTGTGAGCGAACGGAACATTCAAGAAGCCTTCAGACGTTTTCGACGGGATTGAAGTTGGGGAGCTGGCTGATCCATCCAAAAGTTTGATTTTCTTTCTTTGAAACCCAATTGAAGATGCGGTCGCTCTTGTGAATGACTGGATTGTCTTAATGGAATTAGTGAAACAAATTTTAAAGAAATTTCGTAGTTACGTATACTAGATTTTCGAGAACGTCCGATACCATCCTTAATCAGCTTGACATTCTGATTGAGTTATACCAAAATGTCAATTTGAGCTTTCTCCTGTGAGCTAATGTAAGAGATTTTCCGCGGCCGATGATTATGAGAAGGATAAGTGAAAATAGTTTATAAGTGAAAAATTATCGGTCAGGCTGTCCGCACACAGAATGCAAGCAGTAGCTTGCCAACCTTTTATGAGCTGAAGGCCGCAATTTGACTGGAATGGAACAGTCGGTCACTTGCATACCTCAAGGAACTCGCCGACAGAATGCGAAACCGAACATGTGAAGTGATCCAAAACTATGAAGAGACTACTAATTATTGGATTTGTTGTGTTCTCGCATTCAAACTTGTTGTCTTATAGTTATTTGGACTTTTTTCTTGCGTTTTAGTCCTTAAACAAAACGAAGTTGTTCAAAGGTCCGAATTCGGCCCGATTTCAAGCCAAAACTGAAGCGGACGATCGCTCTATGGAGAAAATAATAAGATTGTTGAAAAACTGTACAAAATACAGAAAAATCAGCGAGAAACATGCAAAAATGCCGAAAGAAGAGACAAAAAATAAGGGGTGGCGTATCATTATGACGCGCTTGAAAATCCAACTTTTTCTGTATGGATACGGACCAACGGACCCTCATGAAAATACGCGTGTATAGGTTTTCAATGGTCCTGAATTCGAAAATGAAATTTTCTTGTCACCAATTTATATGGTTTTCTCAAAACTGCGAAATTTGGGGGGTGGCGTATCATTATGACGCGCACTGTATCTTGAAAAAAAAACGCTACTGACCAAGAAGAAACACGAGAAAATTGATGACGATGAAATGAATCACGTATATAGTAAGAGACAAAAAAAGGGTGAAAGTACTAGTTTTCGGCGAGCGCGTCCGCCCAATTCGCCATACACACACGCATATACACACACATTCTCATACATTCATACACCATTTCGACAGTATTATTCATTTTTGTGTCACTTTTATTGTTGTAGACTGAAGAATCGATTGATGCTGAAGTGAGGAACGGTGACGGAGAACAGTGTTACACCTCCAGAAACACGCCAACGAACCGTGAGTGATTTTCAATTTGAAAACGAGACATTTCAAATTTATGCCGGCATTTTGTGTTGAATATCGTCGTTCAACAATTTCTTTTGCCGAAATCTACAGTTTTGAAGGCATATGAGCCCCGTGGAATATTTGAGATTTTAAGCCCTTCTAATGTTCAATTCTGGAATAGCCTCATCCAGAAATGAAGAACTTCTCGAATGTTTGACTTTTTTTAGAGAAGGACATCTATAATTATGGAAAACAAATATTTGCCAAACATTTGCAATCAAACTTAGTGGATTTCTTTTTTGAAATTCTCATTTTTTCTTTTCAATATTCTCCCGTTTTCGAATCTTCTTTAATACTTATTTGAAAATTCAAGCATATTTTATTCTCGTTGAGTGTGAATAAACGTGATTTTTTTTAGAAACTTTAAACCATTCTTAAATTTCTCGGAAATTACTTACAATTTTAATTTAGTCTTCAAATGTATTTCTTGTCAAGCTATTTTCGATTATTTTTTGCCAATTATGAAACGAAAAAAATGAGCCACGAAATTTGATCCATTCTGTGTCAGAATCTTTCGCACTTATTTTTGAGAACTATCGGTAAAAGTCAAACGTGTTGTGTTATATTCGCTAAATATTGATTTGCTTCCAAATTTGCATACGCGGAAATGTTTTGATGGCGTTTCTCCAAAAAAAAAAACACATACATCATACTTCTAAAAAAAAAACATGAAATAACCAGGTGATTTCCATACCAAATTACCAGTTAAAAACGTTTTTATCGGAAATTCTTTAATTTTCTTATTTTTTGAGCTTTTTCTCAAACATTTCATAATTATTCGATGGGTTTTCGCTGATATGATACTGTCGAGTTCAATATTTACTCGAAATTTTTCGTCTTTTCATTATTGTTTACTCAAGAATAATCGATGAACCCGGAGGTTCTTTAGCAGTTTTTTTTTTCTTCTTTTTCTTCTTCAAGTGTTTTTTGTTCGTGTTCAAATAACACAAAATAATGTACGACGATTTGTGTTTTCTATCAGCTGAGAACAATTTCCAGTAGAGTCATCATGTTATTATTTAGAATGCGGAATGCCGACGACGTCGTCGCAAGACCCGGAAGCAGCAAACGAGCCGCAGAAGAATTCGCGGAAATGGACGGTGCATCAGGGGAGGAATCGATTCTGCTGTCAAGGAAGGGTACGTCTTGGAACGTGAGCCTAATACCGAGATCGGAGAGATTCAGATGGTTTGCTCGCGTCAGCATGGCGTCTTCGTTCTCACCGTTTTCCTACTTTCCACATGTCTCACATTATTCTTTATATTTGAGTAACCGATGTCTTTTCATTCTTCGTTTCAAAACAACTGTCTTCAGCGCGCCTTTTATGTGGAACATCAATCCGGCGATTCCTATTGTGGCAGCTGTTTTGTCGACGAGTGTTATTGCCAACTTCGTGCTTACTTCGTTTTCGGACCCTGGAATTATACCGAGAGTTGGGAATTTGGAGCTCATCGAGCTCGATAAGCAGAAAACGGCAGGTGAATTTTCGAGCGACAATTTTGATCATTTTTTAGAAATATTAAAGCATAGGCAAGCGCTATATAAGGGGGGATTTTGGCACTAATTTACAACTTGAAAAATAATACGTTCAAATGGGCGGGTCCCGATTTTATTCCTGTTTTCCACTGATGCAATACATTTCATTTCACGCCAATTATCAAACTTTTTTTGAATGAAATAAAAAGAAAGTGATTATATGCAATCTGAGACACTTTCGTATTACAATCGCAAAAAAAGCACCTTTCGCCGATTTACGGTAGTGTGATTCACAAGTATTCCGTAGTACGGTACCCGAATTCCCACTGTTTAAATTCGGATTTGAGCTCGAAAAAGTGCGATGGTCAACAATTACCCAGATTGTTCATTTTTTGTGTTCCTAATTTCTTCAAACTATGTAAAAATAAAAAAAATAAAGGAAAAAATAATGATACATATTTTTGAAAATCTCTCTACGTTTCCTTTATTAGAGGGTGGCTGAAAATTACCGACCTAAAATTTGGTGCCTTTGTGAAGCGCACTGGCGCTTTTTCAGCGCAATGTTTTGTTAATTTGCTGTATGTTTTCCTGGCTTGAGAGTTCTAAACAGAATTAGACGAAATGATAATTAGAGCATCAGAAAGATGGCTTGTCACGATCTTCAATGGCAGCCATTGTCAAAAAGGAGCTTAAGTTGATCCCTTATCGTGTCAGAAAAGCAGTCCTCATTTCTCTGGCCAATAAGCTCAAACGACTACAAAAACTGCTCGAATTCCTTTTGGCGTGTACGGGTTGGAGAACATCTGTCCACGGTGTTTTTTGATGAGAAGCTGTTTACTGCGGAGGCAAAATTCAATTTGCCAAACCATCAAGTGCTTGCCCAAACATCCGAGGAAGCTTCAGAATTCGGCCGGGTCAAAATCAACAAAGACCACTATGTCAACGATCCTGAAGAACAACTTGCTTCCTTGGAGCCAAAAAAGTGGACAGTGATGGGTGTTCCAACAGGACGGGGCCCCAGCTCATTCCGCGAAGTTTACGCGGGAATTGTTCGCCAGTTATTTCCCTTCCGTCATTAGGTCAACAGCATGACCCGCCTCGTCTCCGGATCTTAATCCGTTGTACTACTTCGTATGAGGGGTCTTACATAGTAAGGTCTGTGCTAGGCCCCATCCGAATTTGGACTGCGCGTCACGGTTAACGCATATCCGAATCGTCTTTGCGCAGTCGTCAGAAACCGCAGAGATTGCATCACGAAAAGATAATTTGTTGATGTTTGTTGATGCAAAAATAGACTAAATATGAAATTTGTGTTAGATTGAACAATTATTCCCTGAAATAAATAAGTTTTTATATCGTCCGGGTAATTTTCAGCAACCCTGTCTTTTCTCTTTCTTTTCCTTGACCCTTTAGTGTTCTATATAATGTATATACTAGTCTGCGTCCTGGTTATTTTGCACTTTAGGAGTCGGTTTGATAATTGTTAATATGAGCTGTCGCCGGACGCCGGCTATATTTAAAATCTCCAAAACTGAAACGAAAATTTTATATTTCACAAATTTGATATTGTTTGTTTAAATGAAGAAATTGTCAAAAATAAGGAAAGCTATGGCAGAATTTTTGGCGCGCCCATGTGTAGATTAATTTGCTAAACATAATGAGAGGTTAAAGGCGCAGATCGGAGTGGATTTTTTTGGCATTTAGCAATTTTTCGCAAACGATCGACGTATCAAAAAATAACATTAGTGTAACATTTTTGCAAATCTATTGAAGCTATTTGCTAGATTGAAAAGTGTTCGCGGCATTATATTAATTGAGAATTGAAATAAATGCAAAATGATCAACGATAAAGGTTATTTGGCGAAACCATTGTCCAATGTTTAGAGCAAATTGCTGAAAACTGCACGAATCGTGTTCGAACGAAGGAAGTCGTCGTCAACGGCCAACGAGTCAAACTAAAGTACTGTACGACGTGCCGCATGTTTCGACCACCGCGCACCTCGCACTGCTCAGTTTGCGACAATTGTGTTATGATGTTCGATCACCACTGTAACACTAAGCGACGGTTCTCGATTGTGATCTAGAAATTCTCGTTTCAGGTCCTTGGGTTGGTAATTGCATCGGCCAACGCAACTACGCGTTCTTCTATCGATTCGTGATCTCACTAGCGTTTCTTATCATTTATTGCTTCGCGTGCTCCGTTGTGCATCTATGTTTAGGTACAGTAACCCATCGAATATCATTAGTTATAGTAACTTTTCAGTATCTAAGCAGAAAGAGAGTTTGGCAGATGCGATCAAACAGAATCCAATCACTCTGGTTGTGGCCCTTGTGGGATTCTTCTCGATATGGTACATAGAAATTATCGTATTCGTTTTAAAATATTTTTGTAGGTCAGTAGTTGGTTTAATGTGCTTTCATAGCTATTTAATAGTTACTAATCAGACAACGAATGAAGATGTAAGCTATAAACGACGGTTAATAAAATATTTGATATAATTCCAGCTCAAAGGAGTATATCGTAATAAACCGTCGAATCCACCGGAAACAGAAGTGAAAAATCCGTTTCATCGCGGTTTTTTCAAGAATATTGCTGAAAAATTGTGTCGTTCTCAACCGCCGAGGTAACCGAGCATTGTTGTTTTCGCTATAAGACCTCTTCAGTGTCTTGGACGCAAGCGGATTTCTCGACGCGAATGTCTACATTGTAGTGCCGAAACCGAAAGCTTCGTCATCTTCTCATGAGCCGACAACGTCGACATGATTTTTCTTTTTCAAGTTTTATCTTTAATTTGTTTTCGATTCCATTATTTGGTGTGATGCTTCTACGGGTTGCTTTAATGTTGCTCATATTTGTTTCAGAATTTTATGTATAGGACCTGCTTGTTGAATAGATTTTAATTATATTATACTAAGCCAATGCCAAAAAAAAAATAAAAGAAATTATTTAATTAATTTGTTTTTCTTAAATTTCAAATGCGGGAATATTTGTGTTCGTCTCATCGAATCTCGCGTCGCACTTCGATTTAATTTCGATTCCACTCGAATAATATCGATTCACTTTCACTAGACGGCGTCGCCGCGACCTCGTGCGCACTCCTCCTTGTTTGTCAAATTTTCCATTTTCCTGTTTCAACGCGCTTTCAAATTCAGTATTGATTCCGTGTTTCACGAACTATTAATATCTTATGAATTTCTTGAAATTAGTTTCAATAGAAGCAAATTAGTGTTTGACCGAAATTGCCGAAAATTTGCGATCAGAATGTGTTCAACGGACAATGCAGGTTTTTTTGTATTTGCAAATTGAAAAAATCTGGACCAAAGTTATTGAAACGATTCGCCGATGAAACCACCGTTCGATTGTTCAATTTGTTTATTTTCATCTGCGGACATTTATTATTTATTATTCGAATGGTCACATGTCTTCTAATTTTCACTTATTTTATAGTCTTGACGACGCATTGTAAAATTTTCCGCCCTTAAAATCTTCTCCTTTGAAATAAATTTAGAAAAGATTCGATAACAATTTTAAATTCGAATGTCCAAGCAGAGAAAATTGAAAAAAAAAACTAATCATTGTTATAGTAATCGTCTTTAAATTTTTAAAACAAAACCGACATAAATATTGTGAAAAATGAGGGAAATAGAATAGTGCTTATTTGAGTAGCACATATGAGTCCTTATATGTAGTGCTCTCCCGCTGTGCCTCTTCTCTATTGTCGTCATGACAACACACATGGCGAGAAGCGCTGCGAAATTCCACAAATGTTATATATTTTGCAACACAATGGTCGAATATTTTCGGCGAAATGAATGCCGATCGAAATCTTATCTTGGGTATGCAATTCGTCGCATTTTGTCCACTCGGATTTCACAAGAAATTTCGAAATTTTTGTTTTTCAGCCAATTGAAAATGCTTGATCCGCGCGAGACATTCGAAAAATACGAAAGAAGATCACCTCAACCATGTGCAGGTAGTCAATAATTAAGTTATTTTCGGAAAACCATTATTTTTAGATCGGCGGGATATTTTGGCTTGCGAGTTTCGCAGAGAACCAGCACATCAAAGTAGGCAATTTTACAGACACATAAAAATGACTGAAAAAAATAAGATCAAAACTTTAAAAGTATCTTTAATTCTAAAGATTTCAGAATATTTTCGCTTGAAATTCTCAGAAATCTGGTTCTTTTACAGAGAAATTTCGCAAAAAAATTAAAAAACGTTCATTTTTGGTAATTTTCTTGCTTTTTCTTTTTAAAACTTCAATATTTCAATAATATATTTTTAAAGTTAATACATATAAAAATTTATTCTCTTTTTTTTAAATCATTTTAATTTTTAAAGGTTTCAAACAACGTTTTGATTAAAATATGTTATCCCTTTGATAAATCATTCACAATTTGAAAAATAATTTAAAAATCGTACTCGCATATGGTTGGTTTCAATTTAAAATAAATGTGAAATTCGGAAATCCGTGAAATCTAAAAAGAAAAAATTTAAAAGAAAATTATTTTGAGGTGAATATCGTCGCGAAGTTGTCACAACAATTCCGGTTCAACGACAAAATACCAATGGTAGGTTTTATACTTAAAAATGAATGAATATACAATAAATTAAAATACAATATAGTCGGTCGGCGTCCGGCGACTACTGTATGCGGGTAGATTTACGCGCATGCGCCTTGAAAAGGTCTCGACACGCTTGAATGCTTATTTCGCTGTTTTCACGTGAACTGCTTCATTTTTCTTGGCGAGTTTCGTATTTCCTTGAATTTCCAACGTCATTCGATTAAAAAAAATTATCGAATCGTTCCAAAAAATGAAAAATAACTAGTTTGTGCGAGACCAATCGAAAGGAGCATCCCCGTAAATCTACCCGCGTACCACAGTCGCCGGACGCCGACTATATATATATTTGATGTGTGCGACTGCGAAAAATTGGCTAAATGCCAAAAAACAATAGCAGTGGTCTTGGCTCAAAACTAAAAGTGTAGATTCAAGGGCCTATGTATAAGTATTGGTTAAAGGCGCACACCGAGACCTCATTTTTTAATTTTTTGGCACTGAGCCAATTTTCCGCCACCGACAATGTACATAATTGGTGATTTTAGGCGGAACACTCGCTTGTGAATTGCGAGCAAGACCTACCACGATCACCACATTTTTGCCAGAATCGGACAAAAAGAAATGTAAGAAATTTTGAGTTAAATCATATTTTCCGCTTCAATTAATTCAAACTAATCAACATTTGTACAATTTTAATTGCAAAATTTACTCGAAATAATATTGAATAAGCAAATGAGAATGCTAATTGTGCGTGGTTTTTAAGAAGAATCTGCTGAAAGTCTGCATGATGCTCGCAAATTCGAAATTTGAGACAAAATTTCAGAGATTTCTGTTCAATATTATAATGTTCTTTTTTTGCAGTCCCAGTTGGGCTGATTGTTGCGATCGCGATTTGCATTCCGGTCTTTATCGTCATCATTCTTTTCGCCGCTGTTTGGTTCCAGGAGCTCGGATGGATTTAATATGATTAATCGACATACAAATTACATTTTCGCCTTTTCAACGGGTCCGAAAACATCTCTTAATTCCTTATGTTTTTTCCCACACTCGATTTGCCTTCCAGCCATGTACATATTTGGATAAGCTCGAATAAAAAGAGAATCGACGCTTACCGTAATCCGATTGGCGTGTTGCCGTGGGCCATAGCCGCATGGGGCAAAATGGATAAGCGAGAGTGTGGGTGAGCACGAGAGAGCACCGACGGCCTCCAGGGAGATGTCCGCAGGTAATGTGGAAGAAATTCGACGAGCGAAATCGAATTGAGGACAAATGAAAATGAAGTTTCGCTTCGGCGAAATGTGCTCGCGAGCGCGTTCTGGCTCGATTTCGTGCTCGGATTTGTTTGCAAAAAAAAAACATTCGAAAGTTCAATAAACCAGTGCAACTCGAATGAAAATCAACGAATTTATCCCTAAACCACTATCTCAATATGAATATTGCGATTCGCAGGACGAATCGTCTCAAAAATTTCAGTCGTGCAATTTTTAAATGGTCCCTAAACAATCAGTTATTGTGTGAATATTTTACGATAAAAAAAGTCCAAAACGGTTTAGATTTATATTAAAAAAAAATCTGAATTTTGTTTTCAAACATTGCATTAAAATGAAACTATTCTGACGAATAATTAATGAAAATTGGCGTTCAAATTGCTTTAAAAGAGAATCAGTAGCATCATGAAAATGAATTCAAAATATTGTCGAGAATTTAATGGATTTATGCGCTGTTCATTATTTTAAAAAGAATTTCGAGTATTTCCACGTGGGCGAAAAATTGACGAACCGCTGTCGCCTTTGCCCTTCGCGTTCAATTCGAATATTGTCAACGTCAATCGTCTTATCGGCTTCGGAAAAATTAGATTGCGTAAAACCAGTGTGGATCGACGAAACTTGAAATTTCCGCGCGTAAAATAAAATGCAGAGTACGCAAACACGCGCACATCCATTTGCCTTGAGACAGCTGGCATGTATAGTGCGTTTTTCTCCCCAAAAAAAAGCGGCCATCACAATTTTTTGCTGCAAGACCTTGAGACGCAAATGAAGAAATTAAAAATAATACGCGGAACGCACGCGAACCGCGACGCGTCTCGCAAAATCGGTGTAGATTCAAATTAATCGGTGACTGAATATTCAATGCGCGTACGTTTTAATGCAATGTACGCAATCTCACGGCATCGAGACGCATTGGCACATAGCCAATCATTTTTTAAATTTCGTCAGATCGTTTGACTTCGACAATATATATATATATATATAACGCCTACAATATAAATACCCGAGGTGGCGCCGCCTGGCGTTAAAATCCTTCCTAATAAAAATGCAATTTTTATGTTTCATCGCAGATAATTTCCATAATGACATTATCTTCGCTGTGCACAAATTTTTTGTTTATTTTTTTCTCAATACCACTTCTCGATTTTTCATTCGATTTCTTCCAACGTCTCCGCAAGAAAAAATGAGGCATTCCGGCACAATTTGTGAATTTATAACCCTATAAACTCGATCGTTTTTGCTTGCCCTTTTTTCTTTTCGTTTTCAAGCCCATTTCTGTAATTGATTACGGTAATACAACAATTCGAAACGCACACAATGTAGCTGTCGAGATTTACCTTAAAAATTGAAATGGAAAAGTTAGAATTGAGCTGCTTGGAGGGGACCAATTGAATCAGCGCAAAACAATTAGGTACCTTGCAAGCAGCCCAACTCAACTTTATCGTAGGGAGAATAAGAGTAAAATAAATAAAAGTCGGAGAAAAAGCGACGACACGAGCTTCTTCTTCTACTTCTTCTTCGTCGTCGTCACACTGAAATTCCACAGATGGGCGGAGCAGGCGACGAGCACGAGCCGCCGGAGCACCACCGACGATTGCTTAGAGAAACGTAAGGACGATGAACCCGCCCCATCGTCTCGCATCCCATTTGCGAACTGCCCTCCTGAAGTGGATATGAAGTGTCAAGTGGATAGAAAATTGATGAAAAGAAAAGAAAATAGTGGGCGATGCGCGAGCGGCGTCGCGGCTCCGATTGTTGCTGCTATCGATAGCCACTCGATAGGTGTTGATTGATTCATTTGCTATTCGACAACCGCTTATCTCCTCCTTCTACAACATCGAAGTCAACTAACGATGACGTCACTCGACAGAGAAGAAGCTTCATCGATAATCCAGCAAAGAAGAACAATATATGTTATCAAAACGACTTCATTTCTACTGGATTCATCTGATATGAGGGCTATTTAAACAGTGTAAAAATAAGAGTGTCTTGAATAATTGTGGACCATCGCACTTTTTCGAGGCGGTAATTCAAATTTGAGTTTAAACGGTGGGAATTTGGATACTCTTGATAATCTGCAAAGCGAACTCACCGTTTTTTTTGTTCAAGCTTCAAGTATTTTGATGTAGTGAAGTAATATTTTTTTGATTTTACTGAATTGGAAATTTTACAAATAAAAAACACATTAATTGCTTGTGAAACACACCAAATATAAAATCGCGGCGTATTTTGTTGACTTACGTGATCGCATTATTCAATTTATTCTAATACAATCAAACGAGTAAAAAATTGACGAGAAATTTTCGATTAATTTTGATCCAAATCAAAAGGAATTGAAATTGGATTTTGAGGGATTTGGAAGATCTACGATGATCTTTCAAAAAATGAAAAAAACTGAATGGAAAACCACACGATTTCGAAACTACACAATTATTTTGTATTCGATTTATTTATGGAATGGTGCGATTAATTGTCTTATATGTCAATAAACTGTTCTCATTTGATGATTGTGTGCAATTCCCGATGGCACTATAAATCACAAAGTGCGAGATGAGGCGACAACTCGCAGGTTGTCAGTCACTTTCCCAACGGACCATTCTCCTTGACAGTTCGCCGACGGACCATGCCCGATCGACCCATCGAATGTGTTAAAATGGGGCGGAGCCAAGATGTATTCTCCAATCGCGTGGCTCAGTTGTGCTATCAGTCAGTGTGCTGAGCTCATCATCGACGCGTGCTCTCTTCCTCTTCTATGAATATGCAGTCACCGATTTACAAGGTCCGTTCGTTTTTCTTCATTTTCCTTCTATGTGCCATAATTATTCAGAAAATGCTGAAATCCGGCAAGAAGTCGACGAAGCACAATACGAAGAAGTCGATGAAGAGGATGAGTGTGATGGACGACACCGAGCGAATCACGGCTTCTGGCGCATTCTCGACTCCCGACTATCTCAATTCTCCAGCCGCTCGACAACTTCCAATGCCGCCAGCGCAGTGGCTCCTCCAGGTTCGATTCCTCCTCTTCCTGCCATATTAGTCTTCTCGTTCCAGCATCCTTCTCGTCCGTGCTCCTCCAACTCAATGAGCTCCACTACGACGACGTCGACCAGCTCTTTCCATGATATCAATGGTGTTCGATTGTCTCCATTCGATCTCATCTCCGGCATCAATTCGTCTTCCAGTTCGCCGATCTCTTCCATTATAGTTCCACACGTTTCCAATGGAGTCCGTTTCTGTCCACTCCAGCTTATCGAGATTGTCGCAGCTGCTTGAAATCCTTCATTCCGGTGATCGATCATCGTCCCAATGCTTTATACGTGTTCTGTGCGATCGCTTTCGTTTTCTTCCATGTTCATTTTCTGTTTATTTATTTTAAATTTATTTCTTAATATTTTTAAAATCATTATTTAAATAATTGTTGTATCCGTCGATTAATTAAATATCATTGGCTTTTAAAGAGATAAATGTATATAATGAAAATACGATTTTTATATTCTTTCAAGCTGTCGACTGAATACAAATACATATCATTGTATATCATTGAGTAGAACCAGATGGAAAAAAAACACTTTTGTTAGAAGGGATTGAGCAAATTTCTGTGTGGCACCCGACTTCTCAAAAAATACGTCCGACCTCGAACTTGAATGCTTTAATAATGGAACGATAATAATCACTCCAAATTTAGAATTCTTTTGTTTTGAATGAATTATTTGGTTGGCTTCATCGTTCTCTTCCGAATGCCGATAACGCTCGATCAAATTCAAATTTTCAAAAACCTTGGAGTTTCATCAAATTCCGAGTTGAGTACACCAGCCGTCGCAGGAAGCCGATTCGTCGAAAGCAGGCGGCCTAGGCATCACTTCTCGTATTTTTCGTTTGAGCTTCCTTTAATTCTGTAGACGTCACTTATAATTAAATCCACACCTCAGTATTAATTAAATCCACACCTCACAAGTATAATATTTTTGCGTGACAGTGTATACACTAGTTTCACGATCCTGGAAAACAGTGGTTTTTTCGTGCTCGACAAAAAAAAATGACAATTTTTAGAAGAAAAAATGGAGCAAATTGGCTGTTTTCAAAAAAAAAAAAAAAAAAAAAAAAACAAAACGTATCCTGTGTGTTTTGCCAAATTACCATCAGTACTGTACTCTTAGAAATTTGCAGTAACTGTGCGTACATCTACCGCAAAATTGCACCACTCCCAAAACTGCCGTGCGGATCTAATCGAAAGTGCAGACATCCACATGCAGTTCCCTTTGCATTAAAAAAATCGAATTCTAAATTCAATACATGATCGTCTGTTTCTGCTCATTGAATAGTATCCCTAAGAATGGTCGGCTAACTTTTTCGTTTCATTTTCTTATTGGGCCGACGATTCATTATCAGAGATTCATTTAAGAAGCTGCACCCATTTGTATAGCTTTTAGAAAATATTTCAATTTTCTTACCATTCGCGTCCTGTCAGATCGTATTTTTTCTGAAGAACTCGGTTCATTGATCCCTTTAGATCGAAGAAATGCTGCGAAGACAAGAAGCCAATTTCGATTAGCTGTTGGCTGCATTTGCCACGTTTTCTTCGTGATTGGTTCGATTTGTGCTCATTATATATGTGCTGCTGCAGCTTCTTCTAACTCATCCCCCCGTATCAATCCTCGAGGCCCATAATTATTCCCATTACCTTGTCTCATCTATATACCACCAAAAAAGGGTCAGGCTCAGTATCAACTTTTATTATGTGTTAACGTTATTATACGAAAATGTCATAGAACATGATGCCGATCATTTGAGGCTGCAAGTCGCAATACTCGTCGTTATCACATAGCTCCAGTGATTTTATTCTCTTTTTGATCTTCTTCAGCCGATTGGAAATTTTGCTGAAACTCGAAATTGTAAATTCAGAAATGCGAATTAAATTCTTACGTGATTTTTATACCCTCAATTTTGACGATGACATATAGACGTAGAAAGGATAGCAAAGAATAATCAGCCATCTTATATGTATATATGAAAGGCCATTTTTTTTCAATTTCCTTTCGTAAACGAGATACACGTGATTTTTGAATTTCAATCTCTTCGCTTCCTAGAATATCAATAAAACGCTTTCGAAATTCATCGGATGAGCACATGAGCTCAATTTTTTCGACCGTCTGCAATCAATTCGTATAATTATTAATTGATGTTTCAATTTACCGTATTCTTATACGATTCGAAATGTGCGAGAGCCGCTGAAACAAAAATTCCGACACATTCCTTCCTGTCATACTGAGCATTTTCCGATGATGGGATTGTGAACACCTAAATTGTTTCTTCTCTTTATAGTATATAACAATATAATAATGTTACAATTGATTCCGCTTTCTCGATCTTGGCTATATAGAGGCTGTTGAGAACACACATTTTGATACGATGTTCGTCTACTCTTCCAATCGGTATCGTTTGATAAATTTTCGAGCCACACGCCATTATCAAATCTAAAAAATATATGGATTTTATATGTAATAGTGCGACCAAATTTCCTCACATTCAGCGGTTCTTAAATCATATGCGGGTGCATGGACAGCCTGGCCCTGAATTAACACATTCCCGTCGCATTCTTCCATAATTTCCTCGATCTCACTGGCTATATAACGACCGCCTTTCGATAGAATTGAATCGCTTCTTTTGTCAACTAAAATTAATTATGTTCAATTGTAAAACGTCTACGCGAATGCCTGGTTTCAATTGCTCATCCGTGAACACAACGACAGCATCCGCATTCCAATTTTCATCGTCTTCACGAAGACTCAAACGAAATGTTGGTCGGTCACTCATCTAAAATGAATATTATTTTGCAAAAAAATTTGAAAGCGAAAAGAGGAAACAAAAAGAATGAAGATTTGCACGGGAACACCCTTCACCATACGCCCACTTCTATGTCTATGCGCCCACCACACACCCTCCTCTCCTCACATTCACGCCTGCCAAACCTTTAGTCATTGTATTCTTTCTGTGAAAACTGATGAATCATCGCCAGATCACCCTTTTCTCACATTTGTCGAATTTTTAGGGAAATTGCAGTTTTGTGGTGGAGAATTTCACGCTGATATCCCATAACTTTTCGATTCGAGACCAACCAAACATGGAATTCAAAGTTCTGTCCATTATGGAGTTACTTGAGAGATGTCATCGCATTTAGCATCGAATAATTAGAATTGGAAGAAATTTGCATAAGATTATATAAACTTACCGACCTACAGTCCCCTAAAAAATTTCCTAGTGTAGCTACAGTAATCCAGGTAACCAAAGTATTTAAAAAAAATCAACTTGTCAAAATATAATTGGGGATCAAATTTTGCCATCAATAGCGTCAAACTCGTAATTTCGATTTACAGTATCTACAGAACCCCATTGGGACTGGACCATCTGAAACATTGGGTCTCGTTGGGGAAAAAATCCTTTAAATCAGTTTTGCAATTTCTTATAGTCGGAATAGAAAAAAAAACAATGTGTTTTTAAGGCGAATTTCAAGTATCTTTAGAATAATTATTTTTGTGTTTTTCCGAATTGAAAGTGATTTTTAAAAGAAATAATCTTAAAAATGAAAAAATTGAGCTGATAAATACACAGGCAAAACGAGGTTTGCGACCGATGGCCCATCGTGTGAGAACGGACGCCATGTGCGAAAATGGACCATTGATATACAGGTACAACTCGGTGTGCGACCGATGGTCCACTAATGTGCGAAAGGACGCCGCTATGTTCGAACAGTGGTAGGCAACTAGTGGGCCATCGAGAGGCGAGAAAAGAAATGATTTGACTCGCGTCTGGCCTGATGCTAATAGGACTATTAGAACGATCTTCTTTAAAAAAAAGTTCTCATACAAAATGAAATTAATTTATCCCCATTGCCACAGTACTATAGAAATGTATGCATACACCTTTCACAAAAATGCACCACTTCCAAAACTGCGGTGTGGATTTACTCAGAAGACCAAGCGCGCAAAACCCGGACAGAATGGTGGCAAAAGACGCCCGCTTTCTGCTACCATGCTGCCCGCATTTAGCCCTATTCTATGTTCTAACAAGAAGGTGTATGCGCGTATGGTCGTTATAGTCCTCAGTTTAGCGTAATTCGCGCTTACATTATTTCATATGCAAAAACAAGCAATTGAAAGAGTGTTTATTAATAAAAAACTTTATTATTAATTAAATTCAACAATATATTCAAGGAATATACAACAATATATACGTTAACAACTATCCGAATCGAAACCAGTAAGTACGAAAAACAAATACAGATGCCTTCGAATCGAATTTTTATGACTATCAGATCCTCATGATTTTCGAAGATGATAATTTTATAATTTTTCACGATATGAGTCTCACTAAAACAGATTAGGGCGGAAATTTGGCGTATTCGATTGATAACGCAACGAAACGCCAGCAAAACATGAATATAAATTGAAAAAAAAAAACAATACCACTAGTAAAGATTAATATATGAAGGTTGTTCCTTAGAATTGGTTGTTGCCGTTGCCACTGCTGGCATCGTCTTCATTGCACGAGCACGAAATGTAGGCTGACTTACAGGATTCTCTGGATTTTTAAGCCTATTTGCCGGTCGAAATTTAATACATCTTCTAAGTTTTTATTGAAGTTTTGATTCACTTCAGATGGATCACAAAGCGATTCCATCAGTCTGCAAAACTAATTTCAGTCCTAAATTAGTTGATATGATTATCTCTACGATGTAGTTCGTAGGGTTTCGATTCCGAACGAGGGCTCTCGAATCCCTCGGGGAATTCAAACGATCGGAAAACGTATTCGGAAAAAAATGACTGTTATGGCAAAGTACATATATAGACAAGACCAACCTTTTATAAATGCCGCAACCGTTGATGGATTATTCTGAATTCCTTGACTTCCATACGTGTTTCTCGTTCGAAATGCGTACAAACGGTGTGACGACTATCTTTTGAATATCTGACAGTCAGTGAAATAAGTAAAACCGAAGATTTAAAAAAGTACCTGAAGGAGAACATTTCGGATTATTGCAGCTACTGCAGAAAGAATCCCATCCGGTATATTCCCATAACCTCGGATATCGAATACAGAGAAAGGCTAACACTCAAAAATATATTCCGTTTGAAAACGTCACTAACCTTGAAATCGGGATTGTTCTCAACGAATTCCATAATAATAGGCGAGAACGTCATTGTGAAATATCAATATAACGATTTCATTATATCCCCTCGTACGCCGAATGTAGCTGATTTTTTTACAGTGAACTGAAAAATAATTTTTTGATGAAAACAGA